CTGCTGTTCAATTTTGACCAACTCGCCCTTAACACTGAGGGTTTAAGAGTAAGTCAGAATTATCATCGAACAGCTCAGAAGTATCCATTAGGAAAAAAATGTATCTGAATCAATGAAATGTTTGACAACTACGTTTAACCCACTCACGTTCGTTTAAAAGCAAAACCTCTCCGCCATCGAGAATATCTTTCTGTGTTGCTTCTCGACACCTGAGTTCCTGTATAATCGAGTAAGTTTGCATAAGCGATGATCAATTCTTCGCGAATATTCTTCAGGAATCTTTCTGCTACAGGCCAATATGACATCTCTTGTTCGAATTCCATGGATATTTCCTTTTTCATTTTTGCTCGCAAGAGCTCATCGTTTGCTTACATTTTATTAGCCATCAAAAGCGTAATGTGTTCATTCACAGCCGTTGTTGGTAACACAATCGTTATACTCGCTCTCGGGCGCAGTAAATCGATGCACTCCGCTACAAAAAGCGCTCTTTTACAGTCTTGCCTTCTCCGATCTCGCGACAGGACTGACTCAGCCCTTATTTGTCGCATATCTGTTGGGTGTTGCTTGGGACAACGCATGGATTTACTGCACCGTAGCTTTGCCGTTCAGTCTAACAGCTCTTTTCTTTAGTATGGTGTCTCTATGGACGCTGAGCACTATCGCTGTGGATAGATATCTCGCTCTTCATCTCCTCACGAGATACAAAACAGTGGTTACTGTCAAACTTATTGTTGCTGCTTTAGTTTTGGGATGGCTCATCAGTGCCTTTTGTACGGTCTCCATATTTTTTAGTTTTAAATTTGCAAAGATAGTCGGTGATATTGTTATTTTCATCTGTATTGTCACTTCCCTGTATTGTTACAAGAGGAACTACATAACTTTACGACAGCAAAAACTTCATGTACAAGCATTGCGCTCATTTCAGGTGGAACATTATCGCAAATCTCTAAAAAGCATGTTTATAATATTCTGTTTATTTTTGTTAACTTACATTCCATTTTTCTGTATTCTGGTTTTCGTTACAATCGAAGGTTTTGGTAGTACATCGCTTTTTATACTAGATTTATCAACATTGATCGTTATGGCAAATTCCTTCTTAAACCCTGTGGTGTATTGTATGCGAGTTCAAGATCTGAAGGTAGAGGCAATACGTGTCATCCATAGCATTTTCTTCTGTTTGCCAGTAATTTGGTTTAAAAAGGAGGTAGGTCCTCTCCCTTGATATGAACTAAATTTGATGTTGTTACATTGCTAATACTTGAAGACAGATCTAGTCTCCGTGAACGTGGTCCGGCCAGTTTCGCTTGAGAAACGTATTTCGCTCATTTCATGTGTGTTGGAAGACATTCAAGTACTTATCTTAAAACCTCAATCTGATCCTAGTCCTTGTTTTCGTCCCTGTCCGCGCCCCTATCTCCGCATCTTCGTCTGCGTCTTCGTCCTCCTATCCAGCCCGAAGACTGCTAATGATATACATGAAAATGGAATTAAACTTTTCTTAGCAACATGCCAAGGCGAATTTGAAACCTGACAGATATAGCCAACATTGACCGTCAAAGAAATGAATTTACCATAGAGTAGGCATCAGAAAGTGTTCTCTTAAAGAAAACTCCACTGAAACACATCTTTTTGTGTCAATTATAAAGTATACGAAACACAGACGGATATGAAGTCATATAATTCATTAAATGCTTTCCTTCGTATGGGATGGTCTACTTTAGTCTCGTATCCAGACCTTCCACGGCCAAGTGGGTGTAAGTTCCTACAGCTACGCGGTATGAATGATCCGAGAGCTAGTATAGGTATAAACGTCTCAAATGACCGAGTACAAGCCTCAGTTAGGACGGGAATTTTCCAGTGATATTGTCTTAATGATAAATCCAAACTTTTAAACCTTTTGTTCAAAAAAATGAGAGATCTCGTTCAAATTTCAATTTCAAGGCGAAAAAGTTTGTTCAGATTGTAACGAAACAACACCAAAAAGTCAACAATCCACGCAGTAAAAGTTTTGATAGGAAGAAGCTTTCTGTAAACATTTTGCTCTGTGCACCTCATACAATAATCGAAGGATTGTAAAAACAAATCATGCACTTTTAATTGGCTCGAAAACAAAATTGTCTTGTGATCGTCCTTGGATGGTATCTGTTCTTAGAGACACACCTTTTTTCGCTCTCTAAAAATCGAGGGCTTCTCGAAAAAGTTGATATCCAAGACACAAATATCCGAGCATATTTTTTCGCAAAAGGAGAGGCTAGTACTCCTATATCAAATACACACTAAAAACACTCGTGTTCAGCCCTGGACATAAGTGGAGATTTTTCTATTCTTTTATTAAGATTTTCAACGCTCAAATACGTTGACTTTTCGAGCCTGGGCAATATTGCATGCTCGCTGAAGCAGCACCACTGTTCGTGTCAATGCCCACACCTACCTTGTCAGGCAAGTCGTTAATACGGTTTCATCTTCTATTTATTTCCTTTATTGTTTGTTTTTAGTCACGGTTTTCTTCACCGTCAAGGAAACTTATTATTTGATGAATATTTACCCCTTCAATCGCCGAGGTACATCGGGGCGACTCTTTCTTCCAAAAGGACAAGTTTTAAGAGTCGTGTATGCCAATTTCAGCACCCGCTTATCATGCGTATTTACTAAGCTTCTTAATTACAAGTGGAAAAAAGGTTGATTTTATCGTTAGGACAAGTCGTTCTCAGTATATAGTATACTAGGTTTTCATTTCCGCTCGCACTGAAAACCATACCAAAAATCAATATCTAAATTTCTCTAGAGGAGCTATCCCGTGAGTATATGCATACGTAAAAGCCACGTGAAAGTAAATCCCGAATTCAAGGCAAATCCTTTAATATCATACTTGTACAATTTCACTCTAAAATAAACATGACAACAGCCATTTAAATACTTGTTTGATGAGAATTGCCAACTTCTGCAACTCCTGCCTATTCCAAAGGTCCATTATGATATTCCAGATAATTAAATTGAACTGATTAAAGAACAAATTAACAATTCTAATTGAGTTTCAAAAAGTTTAACTTAGTTCAACAAAATTCGTAATTTTATTCTTAAGCAGGGAAGGGAAGGCAATAATGATTACGTC